GGGATACGACTCTCGTGACCTCTAAGCCAATAGGGAGGGGTCTGTTTGGCAAGGCCAGGAGGCAGCTGCAGCTAAACAGGAATAGCTGCTTGAGGAGATACTTCAGTGGCAGAAATGGAGTTTGCTTTGCTCCAACATTTGGCTTCCTGTTTACTCCAGTCCTGGCTGCCCCCTCATCCCCCCAGGTCTCAGCAGCGTTCTCTTGGGGTTGTGGGTACAGGTAAGGCAGGAGTCCTGTTGGGGTTGGGCCACATGTATGGCATGCTGGCTGTTGCAAGATTGATGTTATCTTCTGGAGGAACCCATGAGTCACTGCCCCAGAGCAGGGGCTGTGCCCCAAATCCTCCCAAACAAAGACCCTTTGTCCCCAAACCTTCTCATCCAGGCCCGTGTGAACAACCACCAGACATATGGGCCGACAGACATGCTGATGGAGACAGCCAACCCAGGCAGAGTAAAGGCTGTTTCACACACAGCCCACCTGCCTCAGCTCTCAAAACCAGGCTGGGGAGACCCTGGCAGTGAGATCCTGGGGGAGCAGGGCCATGAGGTCTTAGAGCCCATAGTGGCCTCAACTGGAAGCCCAGGGGTAGATTGGTCAAGCCCAGACAGTAAATGGTAGTCCCAGGATATAGAACCTTCTGTTCTGCTCTCAGCTACCATCTTCCAGGGCTTCTTTTTAGCTCATCTGAGTCCGACAAGACAGAATTCACAGAAGATTCCCGCCGCCACCAAGGATCCTCTCCCTTTGGCGGCTCCTTTTGAGGTGGGCATCTCTCTTTTTTGCTTTTTTCTTTTTTTCTTTTTGGTCTTTTTGAGACAGGGTCTCCCTGTAGCCTCAGCTGGCCTAGAGCTTACTATGTAGACCAGGCTGGCCTTGAACTCACAGAGATCTGCCTGCCTCTGTCTCCCAAGTGCTGGGATTAAAGGAGTGTGCCACCATGTTTGGCTATCTCTTCTTGTACCGCTTCACCTACTTTCCCCACCCAAGGAGCCTCAAATGCCAAGGAGGCCTTCATAGGAAACTAGTATGAGGCCCACATGTCCCATCCTGGGCCCCTTAGTTGACTTTAGCAGAACAAATACCACTGAGTCTTTCTGGCATCAAGGATCATAACTATGGTCACTCCTAAGCTTAACAACCGGTCTATGGACAGCTCCAGTCAAAGTGATGATCCCTGGTCCCAGAATAGACTCCTGAAAGCACAGATATGCCTCTTCCCCTACACACTTCATACACTCAGGGCACCTGTGTGGGAACATACCCACAGGCTCCTGACATCACCTACACAGACACTAAGTTGTCCCCATGGGTGCCTGGGTACACACAGATTTAGGAAAGGAGCACTCCTGGATAGTGGCTCCATGCCAGCCACTCTGGTCTTCTATCCAGTTGACATGAGTCAGAATATGTAGTCTGGGTCTGGCCTATGGACAGTACACTGAGCTTCTGAACTCAGAGGGCCCAACAGGGGACCTTTAGAACAAGCTCCCTCAAAGGCCAAGCCTCCCTGGGTATACTCTAGGGTCCCCCAGGTTTAGGCAGGCATGAGCAGGCCCCTCTGTATGTTGAATCTCCAAAGGGGAGCATAGGGAGGGTAAAGGGCACACAGGGTAGGTAGGGCCGGAGACTGGCCTTGGCAAAGCCACATATACCTAAAAGGTAGGCCCTGGGCTGTGGCCTAGCCTCCTTGCCCATGATCAGGAGCCCCTATTCCTGCCCACCTCTCCCCACACCTAGCTTGAGCTTCACCCTAGAGAATTCTCCAGCTATCTTAGGTATGAGGACCACATTCTTATTTGTGCTCAAGCCCAAAACAGGGTGCCAAGGGTGCCAGGGGAACAGGCACTGATTGGACACTACAGCATACCTCCAACACCAGGGCGGACATTGCTCTTAGGAATGTCTGGCCAGGTCTAACCAGGCCGTGGCCTAAGACCATACTCAGGAAGGGCTCACTCCATCCTGGTATAAGGATGAAGGTTGAGGGAAGCATTTCCAGGTTAGATGTAGCCTCCCAGGACTTCCTAGTCAGGGGTCCTTGACAGTGGCTTCTACCTTGCCCCTAGAGATCCAGCCTGGCAGGCGTCAGGGCTAGACTGAGGTTGTGGGAAGTCAGCCTAGTGAAGGGGTAAGCAAGGCCAGCCAGCACCTCCAGCTGCTCCAAGGCAAGGGCTTCAGGTCAGGAGCCAAACCAAGGTCGTCCAGCACAGCACTGGCCATGCTTGCTCGGGCCCCAGCCAAGGATGGGAAGCATCCAGACACTTGAGCCGCCTCATAATCCAGCTCCAAAATAGGAGAGCATAGGAGAAACTTGCCTTCCTCTGATTTCTCCCCTCTCCTGGGACCCCACCAGCTGGCCCCCCACCTGAGTATTAGTAGCTCCATCCTGTCTACCCTCCATAGTATGCCTCGCTCAGCCTGGGGAGGCATGTCAGGTATCTTCCATGCATCTCTGGGACATCAGAGCCCAGGCCCATGAGACTTAAGAAAACCATATAATACAGCTGGTTACAAGCAGGAGGCCTAACTGCTTTGTGTTCTGGGCAGGTTACAAGGGTTTTTCTGTATCTGTGATCTGGACCCTTTTGATGGAACCTTCTACCTCACCCCAGCCATCCACTCCCTTGCTCCTGGGCCCCCAGCCACAAGGGTTCGGCTGGAGACAGCACATTCCAAGGGAATTACAGCTAAGTGGCTAATGACCTCCGATTAGGAGCGGGAACAGGGAGGAAGAGCAGACAGACACAGGTGGAGTCAGGCGCCAAGACAGGGCCCACCCTGGCCCTGGCCACCTGCCCAAGTATTGCTCGGCAGAGCTGGCCCCCAACCGCTGTCTCCTCATCTCTCATCTCCTCATCTCCATCTGTCTCTCTGTGGGGCCCTAGATCCCATTCTCTGGGTCTCCCTCCATCTTGGTCATCACAAACCCTGCAGCAGCCAACAGGGCCCAAAGCCCAAAACTGTGAGGCCCCCTATCCTAGGGAGGGAGGCCCTGCACACAGCTCAGGAGTTTGGCTCACGCTGCCCACCACGCTGAGTAACTGGCCTCTAGTCCCAGCCCAATCTGCATGGAGTAGACGCTGCTGCTAGTGGGGTAGAGAAACTACAGGCCTAGCCATGCAGAAGTTACCCCTGAAAATCCTAATGTGAGGTGCTTATGGCTCTGCAGGTGTGCACATTCAGATCATACTTGTCTCCACTCAATCTTGACACTTCAGTATCTCCAATGATAAGCCCAAGAAGTCACTTTAGAGCACAACCTGTTTCCACTGCTACAGTGGGTAGAGGCCCTGTTCCCTCTGGAGTGAGAACCCACTGCTGTCATAGCTCAAGGGGCTATAGATGTGGAAGAGATCTGAAAGCTTCAGACCTTGGTCCAGGAGGTAGGCTGCCCAGCAAAGATATTAAGAACAGAGAACGGGGTTCCCATGACCTTTCAGGACCTCAGTAATTGGCAAATGGAAGGGGATGGTCATTTGTCCCAAGCCTGGGCCTTTTTTCTGGCTCCTCAATAGAAACCTTGGGTGTGCTCCACATGGGCTCTTGCAGGGCTTCTGCATGGCTAGGCCTGTAGTTTCTCTACCCCACTAGCAGCAGCGTCTACTCCATGCAGATTGGGCTGGGACTAGAGGCCAGTTACTCAGCGTGGTGGGCAGCATGAGGCAAACTCCTGAGCCATGTGCAGGACCTCCCTCCCTAGGTTAGGGGGCCTCAGAGTTTTGGGCTTTGGGCCCTGTTGGCTTCAAGGCCACCCCCAACAGAACAGGCATGGTAGCTACAGTGAAGTGAAGCACAGACCTCTCCAGACAGCCCTAGCCCTGACACCACAGGCAGGGAGATGGTCAGGAAGAAAGGTGGGGATGGGTCAGTGGCCAAGCCTGCTGGTACACAGACAGGCGCCTGCCTGGCAACACCTCAGTGCCTGGCTTAGTTGGCCTGCCTCACTGCCCGGCAAAGCATCAGGAAGGGGCCCTCCTGTAGCACCTCAAGGCCAGTCAAGGTCTTGGGGGATAGGTAATAGCCTCACGCTTCAGCGTCTTCAAGTCTCAGTTGTCTCACCTCCCATCCTGTTGACAAGCCTGTAAACATACTCATCTTCCTGCAGTACCCTTCCTCCCTTTCGGAGGTCACTGCAGGGCAAGGGAGACTTTCCTCACTCAGCCTTGAAGACGGAATTCCCAGGACCTGCCATGGATCTGGGGAGAAGTCAGATTCTGAAAGCCCACCATCACCTTTCAGTGGCCCAGGTGCCAACTAGAGATAGTGTCTTGGCAGCTCAGCAGGCTGGGATATACTGATGCTAATTTATCTTTTGGTTTGAGTTTGCCAGAGCCACAGTAGGGTAAGTGTAGAGGGACTCCACTGGCAGGGCCCTCCCACCCACATTCTATGTGCCTTTGGTCTTTGAGAAAGTGGTGGCTATCACTGGGGTAGCAAGAAGGGACTCCTGCCTCAGCCTGGATAGGCTTCCCTAGCCCACAGTGTCTCAGCACACCTGAATTGGCAGGTGCTCTCCAGATTGGCACATGTATGTACAGATGACAGTACGTCACTTGTATGTTTGAACTCCCTTTTGCCTATCACCAGTGTGTGGACCCTTCCTCACAGAAGCAGGCCCAACTGTCCTTTTCACATGACCACTAGGGTACACTAGTTTGTTGCCCTCCAAGGCTGGATAGGCCCTGAGAGAGGGATTCCCAGGCCACAGGAAGAGCTGAGCATATACCTACATGGACATTCATCCTCATTCTGAGTCAACTCAGCCTCCAGCAAGTAAAGAAGCTGCCAGGAAGCTCTACCGGCTCCTTCTACCTCCCAACTGGTTAGAAGTGTGTCTGGAGGCTTGCAAGAGGAGTTCACTCTTGTCCCTTTGTGGTCATATTCTGTGCTCTGGAGTTGCATGTGGACAATCTTCTGTTTGCTGTACACCCCCTGTCCACACTTTAGCCACTCAATTCCCACCTCCACCAACACAATGACCAGACAGTGATGGTGAAGTCTGGGGCTCTTTATTACTATGTACGGTAAGTAGTAACTGGGGAGCAATCCTTTTCAGCTCCTCTAAGAAGCTAGGTGTTGGCTTCTCATTCAGCATCCCTTCAGCTCCCTCATGTGCCCAGGAGCAGACCGGAGAAGCTAGAGCTGCTCTGGATGGTGAGGACTGCCCCGGAGCTGTTGTCCACAAACACGGAAGCATATTGTCCAGCCTGAAGACATCACAATGGGCGTCATCACCAGTGGGTAGCACCAGCCCAAACAGCCTGCCCACGCTCGAGGAGAGCCAACCCTCCAACACATGAAACACCACACAGATCTAAAAACAGCCTGACCAGGCACCATCCACCCAGGCATAAGGGCTCAGGGGCCCTGAGCCACTACTTGTACTAGACTATCAGTACCTCCCAGATTGAAAGCCCAACTGCCTGTGGCCTGAGCCCAATCCCCTTACCTGCAGCTGCAGCAGCCCCTGAACGTGCACTGTGAAGACCCTGCTGTTGCTCTCCAGGCCTGATACAGCCTCAAGGGATCTGAGCATAGCACCACAGGGCAAGGGTAAGGAGGCCACTGTTCCATGGTGCCCAGATACCCCTCAAGGTATGAGCCCAGCCCAAAGACAGACCCCAGAGGGTTGTGACCTGCAACAGGCAGCAGGGCTCACTCACGTGTGGCGATGACACAGGGATGCAATGCAGATGAGAACACGCATAGTGTCCCGGGTACGCAGCCGGCCCCTCCCCTGCAGCTCACTGCGGTCTATGGAGACAGCAACAGGTAGTAGGCTTCAGAACACTGCCCAGATTAGTCTCAAATTACTGCCAGGGTTGGGTAGTGTGGGCCCCAAGCAGAGTAGGTGACATCTCTAAGGTACCCATCCCTGAGGGTTAACTTATCCAACACCCTTACTGCATACACAGGCTGGCTCACCCACATGCAGGCTGGCAGAAAACTGGAAGATGGCAGAGACCGGGGCTGTGAAGCGGCCCAAGGCCAGGCTCAGGCCAGATCCCCGCAGGAAGGCACCTTGAGCAGTGGGCTGTGGAGGAAAAGGAGATGAGTAGTGGATTCAGGGCCTGGACCCTCACCATGCATACCCTAGCAAGGGAGGCACCCATAGCCCAACCCCAAACAGATCTTTTCTGGGCTTCATTCTCTTTTTGGGAAGGACAGGGCTGCCCTGTGTGTCCACACCCATGTGGGGCTCAGAACAACTGCTCCAGGCTCCAATGGATGGACAGGACCCAAAAAGATAACATAGGAGATGGCAAGTCCAGACCCCACCTTTGTCATGTTATACAGTGAGGCACACTAGAGCTCCTAGTCTTGACAAAGGCTGACCATTGCCTTCTACATTGGCTCTTCTAGGACCCAACACATACACGTGTCCAGCAACTGTCCAGTGATACCTGTGGGCCCATCTTACCCATGGGAGCCCACCTTATATCCTGTCCCCAGCCAAACCCCTTGGCATATAAACTCCAAAGACATCAGGACTGTTTTGGCCTGTGTGCCCACTCACGGCTTGGAATCCCTGCAGTTCCACCAGTGTCTTCTTGTCCACTAGCACAGGGCCCTTCAACCGGCAATGGAAGGCCTCAGCCACCAGTCGGCCAGGTTCCTGGTATAATAATGTGTCTGGTAGCCCTGAGAATCGACGTTCTGTGGCCTCTGTGGGGAGAGCCACTTGGGTTCAGGACCCTCCTAGCCCTCTTCCCTGATGCCTGTTTTTTGGGGTATTTTTTAAAGGGGGAATGTCTTACCCTTCAGCATTTCCTGAAATTCCAGCAGCAAGGCCTCTGGGGTGACTTCCACCCCTGGAGGACCAGGGGGACCAGGAGGGCCAGGGGGACCAGGGAGACCTGAGAGGCCTCGCTAGAGGAGGCAGAAGAAAGTGAGTTTTAGCACAAGTCTCAGTAGGAGTCCCAGCCACCCCCTTCCTTGGGCTCAAACCCTGAGAGGGGCACAGAGGGGCTGGTCCCACAGTAGCCAAGGGCTCACCGACTTCTTGTCCCGGCCACGGCACCGTTTCTTGGCGACCCCATCTGGCCTCCGGACAAAGTTCAGCCATGTCATGTGGGCATCTGAGAGCTCAGGTCCAGAGGCCTCTGCTGGCTGAAGGGCCAGGGGAGCAGGGCTAGTGTACTGACCACCAGGCCCCTGGTCCATCCCACTATGCCCCACAGACATCTGTGAACCTCAGATCAGTCCGGGGGAGCTCAGGCATACTGGAAGATGTCACAGGGATACCTCAGGCCACAGCCCACAGAGACTATTCTGGGGATCAGAACTGGATGTTCTCACGGGTGGAGTATGAGCTAGGTCTGGTGCCTCTGTGAAAGCAAGAGCCTGATGCTAAGGCACCACAACCCCTCTTGGCCCTGTTCCCAAGCTGGGCATGGTGGCATACACCTTTAAATTCTAGTAATAAGGAAGCAGAGGAAGAGGTAGGTGGATCTCTGTGAGACTGAAGCCAGTGTGGTCAATAACAGTGAGTTTTAGATCAGCTGGGGCTACAGGGAGACCCTATTTCAAAAATGGACGGGCATGCCTGGGCTCACATGGGGCAAGCCTAATGTGTCTCTGACAATATGCTTGGCCTTAAATGCGGTGAAGGAGCTGCAAATACAGGTATATGGCTAGGGAGGGTATACATGATAAGGGCCAAGTCCCTATCTCTGGGGACAATTGGGATATGGGAGAGGTCTATATGTCAGAGTGGCAGGTTTGTAGAATGGATATAGCAGCCACTGGCCTAACTGGGAGAGAGTCAGGTTGCTCCAAGGTGCTCCTGCCTTCATCCAAAGTAAGTCAAGGGTCCTGGCCCAGCACAAGGTCAGTCCTGAGGGAAACCAGAGTGGGTGCTTAGGATAGGTCCAGTTTCCTAATCAGAAATAAGGATGTTATCTTCAAGACAGGTGCCCAACAGGTACCCATCAAGAGGGCTAAGGAAGGCAGATATGCACTGTCTCCCCCCTTGGGTCCCACCCAGAAACAGAAGCAAGGACATCTGAATGTATCAAAATTCTTTACACATTCAGTATCTGTTTGACCCCTCGCCAACACCTCCCAATAATGTCCTAAAGAAACTAGAAGCCCTGGGCACCAAGTGCAGCAGACACAGCTGGGCCAAAATCAGGAACACCTGAAGAGTGAGTCCATGGACACCCTACCTCTACCAACCTATTCCAAGACTCTCTCCTGCCCTTTCTTTGGAAGGGCAACCTTGAGCAGGACAGGAAAAACTGACACCCATGGCCAGGCATTGTGGCGCACACCTTTAGTCCCAGCACTCAGGAGGCAGAGGCAGGCGGATCTCTGTGAGCTCAAGGCCAGCCTGGCCTACATAGTGAGTTCCAGACCAGCTGGGGCTACAGGGAGACCCTGTCTCAAAAAGACCAAAGGGGAAAAAAAACCCTGACACCCATGGACTGAGGGAGTACCTCCTCCCTTCCCTGGTGTCTAAATGGGACTATTCAGGACCTCAATCCTGCAGGAGCCACCCCCCCACACAAGGGGGCCATAATCTCCCTTCTGCCTGCTCAGGAACTAGCCTACAGCTCTGCTGTCTGCCCATTGGGGAAAATGAGGCTTCCAGCTTGAGGTGGGGTGAAATGGGTTGAGAGGGTGTAAGGCTGGCCGCCACAGAGACGCCCTGGGAAAGAAGGATGCCAGGATCAAAGATACAGGGGCGTTGGGGGGAATCCTGCCAGGGTTAATAGCTGTTACCTTTCCTGTCCTGAGGGCCCTTAGGATGGCAGCAGTAGAGGTTTTAAGACCAGTGCTCTAGGATGTTGACTCTAACAGGGCATAAGTATAAGGCTGAAGCCAATGGGAGAGTCTCCTGTCTACAGGACTCATAACAGGGCACTTTTCATGCAAGAGGTCACAGCAGATGTAGCTACACAGGAGCCCTGGGAAGCACAGGGGACAGGCTACTCGTGGCATTGCCAATCTTGGGGGTTATGGAACACAAAGGCGATCCCTTTAGCAGTCTGCATGAAGCCCCTCGCCGCCCCCATCTGAATGAACAATTATACCTAATGACATCAGATTGCTGAAAGCACACAGGCCTGAGGCTTCAAATGGTTGGTTGTAGCCCCACTGCGAGTCCCTCTTCTTGGACAGAGAGGAGCATTCCCCAGAGGCCAGACCCTGTCCTGGCAGAACTCAAGCCAGTGGTCAAGGTCTCAGGGCTATCTACTGTAGGGGGAAATGAGCAGAGCAGCAGGGGGTAGCCGGCTAGTCTGTGCCTAGTGCTGCATGCCCACGCCCACGTGCGCCCCAGCCCGCGCCTACCTTGAGGGAGCCCGACAGTCCCTCATTGTTGGGTGTGGCAACACTGGGGGACTCCGTCCACAGGCCTGGCTGCTGAGGCCTCTTGGGCTCCTGCTGTGCCCCCACACCTCCTAACAGCACGAGCTGTGGCCAGAGGAGGGCCACAGTGGCGGTCCAGGCCCAGCGCCGCATGGCTCAGTCCTGAGAGCGGCTTAGCGGCTTAGCACTGAGCCCCAGCCAGGCGCTCATGGGGGTGGCAGCACTCAGCGCCCCTGCGCGGGGGCGAGGCCTAGGGGCGCGCCCGGCCGCCGCCGGTGCATGTCTGCAGGACCAGCAGGAGCGGTACAACTCGCAGCTGGCAGAGCTACTGTCCCAGAGGGACTAGAGACCAGCACCGGCCTCCCTTCTTCCAGAGTCCTTGACCGAGCTCTGCCGCCAATAAGTCCTTCCTCCAACCCCAGGCCTCTCAGGCTCCAAGGGGAGGGCTCACACAAGGCATCTCCACCGCCCAGAAGGCGGGGCAGGGCAGGGGCGGGACCCCTATGACCACCACACCCCTCACTCCCTTCTAAGGAGTAAGAGCTTGGCTGTGGAGGGGCTGCTTCTCTCCTACTCAAGCAGTCCCTGGCCTCTTCTCAGCAGTCTACAATCCTAGCTAAACGGGGGCACTGAAAACATCAACCCCTGTGGCACCTCTCTTACCCACACCCTCAAAGCAGTGACCCTGGAACCACAAGCGATTCAGTCTAGGAAGCTGTTTACAAATCTCCCAGCCCCCCACCCTCACCCCCGCCCCTCTCACCTCATTCAGGCTCAGATGCAGCTACCCCCACCATTAACACCTGGCTCCTTGCCTCTAGGCCAAGGCCCCTTCCAGTCAGTTATCCTCCATTACTGAGCAAAGGCTGGTGTCTTGCTGTCTTTCCTCTGCCTCTTCCTCAGGAGGTATGGGACCAACCAATTCTTACTCCCTGTCCTCCTGAACCAGCCAGCAGTCCCCAAGGCCTGTTTCCTGGGAGGTTAACACAAGTCAAACCACACTGCAAGGAGCTGCTCCCTCTAGACCTCTGGTCAGTGGGATTTCCCTACTCCTTGTGATATAGTGGCAGGATGAGAGAGAGAGAGAGACAGAGAGAGACAGAGAGAGACAGAGAGAGAGGGAGAGAGAGAGACAGAGACAGAGAGACAGAGAGAGGGGAAACAGAGAGAGAGGGGAGACAGAGAGACAGAGGAGAGAGAGAGAGAGAGAGAGAGAGAGAGAGAGAGAGAGGTTCTTTCTAACTACTCTCAGCCTGCAGACTGTCTGAGTCCAAGCCAACCAGGCCCCTTGGGCTCAGGGGCTATGAGGTAGAATCCCCCTTTATGGAACTAAGCCAGGATTCCTAATAGCCAGTTGGCCTTCAACTGGTAAAAGCTGTGACCAACAACACCTAGGGACTGTGACTGCTCGAAAGGAACTGCATCCCCGTCACACACTGGTTCCATGGGTTTTGATCCTGGTAGACAACATAGTGTTCTAGAATAGACCTTCTTCAACTTCCACACCAGAGGGGTGAAGGCGGCCAAAGCATAAGATCCCAGCCCCAGGCCACATCCAATCTGAAATGCCCAAAAAACAAAGTTGGGGTGGGCATGATGTGAGAAAAGTGTGCTGGCTCCCTGGAAATCTGTCACTTCCAGGGACAGCAGGGGCCAGTCAGTGTCCTGCACACACTGCAAGGCCTTGAGTCCACAAAAGTGCCTCCAGACCACTGGTGAGCCAGCTCTGGATGATGAGGGAGTATACTGCACCCATCCCTGGAACATCAGCAAACTGATTCCTAGTGGTAACCTGCACCCAATATAGGTCAGGAAAGACAGCCTCGATTAGAACCCTTGTCAGACACAGCACCCTGCTCTTTTTGGTTCACCTGTATTCTGGTGGCCAGACCTTCTTAGTGTGAGTCAAAATGTGACTCCCTATCTTTTTTTGTTTCGTTTTTGTTTTAGAGAGGGTGCCCACCTGGCCTGGAATTTGATATGTACACCAGGTTAGCCAGAGATCTGCCTGCCTCTGCTGGAATTAAAGGCTTGCACCACCATAGCTGTCTCCCACCTCTGTCTTGCAGGCAGTTTATAAGCAGACACGCTAGAAGGCTAGATCTGGCCTGCCATAGGGAGGCACCATGGTGGGGACCTGACTTTGAGGCTAGGAGCGGACTCAAACCACCAGCTCTCTAGTTTCAACATCCTCCACTACAAACCACCTGGAAAATGACCAAAAGGATCCTTCTTCGGTTCCCAAGGACCCCAGGCAAGACACAGGCAGCCCCTAGGAGGATCAAGCCAACTCTCATCCCCAACTTGCCAAGTACAAACTGGCTCCCTACAAAGGGAGGCACTCCCTCCCACACAGTTCTATAATGAAATTCCCAATGGCCAGTCAGGCATGGTGTCTGATGCCTGTAATTTCATCACCCAGGAGGTAGACAAAGAAAGATCAGGAATTCAAGGCCAGCCTCAGCTACATGGTGAGTTCAAGGCTGGTCTGAACCACACAGAGACCCTGTTTAAAAAAGAAATTCCTGGGGCTAGAGATATGGCTCAGCGGTTAAGAGGTTCGAATCCCAGCACCCACATAGCAGCTAACAACTGTCTTTAACTCCAGTTCCAGGGGATCTGACAGCTTCTTCTGTCCTCCAAGGGCACTGCACATGGTGCACTTACCTACATGCAGGCAATACATGCATAAACATAAAATAAGAATAAATAAAATGTAGAAACAAATTCCTCCAGGCATGATGGTACATGTGTTTAAGTCTCAGCACTCAGGAGGCAGAGGCAGGCAGATCTCTATGAGTTCAAGGCCAGCCTGGTCTACATAGCAAGTTCCAGGCCAGCTAGCTACATGGAGACCCTATCTCAAAAAGGACCCCCCCCCAAAAAAATTCCCAAAGGCTGCCCGGGAGTTGTTTTTTGCTTTTTTTTTCACCCCCAGGGGCGCAGCAGGAGGTGTCAAAACGTGGGAAATATTTTCTTCCAAAGAACTCCTTTCCCTGTGTGTCCATGTAATAAAAGCTTTGGGGAAGGCTTTTCTTCTGTACAAGGGAGCAGTCCAAGGTGCCAATTGCCCTTATCAGTGACTTTTCCCAAAAAGAGCAACAAAGAAACCATGTCAGACATGCCTGGTCCGACAGAGCAAAGGTCACCTTTTATTTGGAGTCGGTGGAGGCAACATACTGTGGGCACTTTTAAAAGGTTCAGCTCCACCCGACCAAGGGCTGTTAAAAGCTGAGATATATATAGAGAACACATAACCCTTAAGTGTGCTAACATTCTGACTCCCAAGAATCTCAGGGAACATGGAGAGTTTGAACTGGTGCTAACAGTTACTTAAGGCCATGGAGCACTTCTGGACCAGGACAAGACTAATATCTAGTGCAGGAAGAGAGGATGATTCTGCAAGACTCCACCTACTGTCACCATACCACAAACAGGCACCTCTCAGTCCATAGCTCCAGGCTAGGCAGGCCCAGGCCTAGGCCCAGGCAAGGGGTGTCAATATAAAGATCTACCTTTCGGCAATACCAACATACCCTCCCCCAGCAGGTAGGTGTTGATCTTGCTCACAGGCCACCAGGGAAGGTCACTAACACAAGACACATGACATTTAAGAATAAAAGTATAACTAAAGACTTTTAAAAAATAGGAGATATATATATATATATATATATATATATATAATTACTGAGTAATTACAAATAAACTGACCAAAAAAAAAAACAAAACAGTGAATAGACTGTGCTTCAGCTTTACCATTGGTCTCTGGAATGAGACTGGCTTAGGAGCCTTTGGGTCCCCTGATGATAACTCATGGCTTCATCTACCACTGGACAGTGTCACTCACTGCCTCCAAGTGATGCCTTACAGATGTCAGCTTTCCCAGACAATCACTGTAGATACAATCATTAAACATGGACACTAAAAAGGTAAGATGTTGGTCATAAGGGATTCAAGAGTCTAAAAACTGAGAACTTGCCAGCTGAGACACTAAACCTGATATGCCTTTCCAGGGCAGTTTCCTCTTCTATGACCTGTGAAAATCAACACATAAGACAGGCCACCTGAAAACAATGGTGTAACAGGCCCCAAGGTACATGAAAGAACTTGGTCCAGTGCTAGGGAAGTCCCAAAATACATAGAATCAGTCTATGAAGACTTAAGCTCTCCACTTTCTACCAGAAGAAGAGAAAGAAGGCCTTCTGGCCAAATGGACACGAGGAATTCAGAGAAAAGGCTCTGCAGGCACCCAGGGATCCTAGTACTGCATCACTCAGAGGAGAAAGGAGAGAGAAAGGGTACTGGGGCTGACAGCAACACAAAGGGCCAACCTGCCAAGCCTCGTCTGCAGTCCTCAACTGCTGGTCTAAGTGCGACACCTTGTGGTCAGAACGCAGGTCGACTCGTAACTTCTACCTTACTTGGCAGGATTTTCTTTCACTCATAAACATATTTTTACAAGGCCAAATCAGTTATCACCTAGACTCCCCATTCACAGCCGTCACCAGCCAGCCCAATCAGCCCCCCTAAACCTCTATTGCACTGGATAAGTTTTACAGCACTGGACCCACCCTGAGGCCTTTAGCTCCTCTGCTAAGAACACACACGAAGTATTTGATAGGCATTAAGTTTTATATTTTTAAGTGACCAAACCTAATAAAATGAAAAAAACAGGTTTACTAAACAGGTCCAAAAGACAACACAGGAGATATTAAAACCAAAGCGTGAGTGGCCCTTGTCCTTGTCAGCACCCCCAAGACACACCACACTGGGCCAGAAGAGGGCGTTAATTAATCTCCACTCTCCTTTAAATCACACATTTTGGTTTTTAAAAAAATGAAGCCCAGGAGTCCAGCAGGCCGCCCTGCGCTCGGCAGCATGTCCATCCTGCCCGCATCAAGCTCTGGCACCCGTGTCCCTCAGCAGCAACTGTAGGCTGTGGCTCTGGTGCCTCACTCCTGTGCTATGCTTCTCAGAACGTACTTGACCGTGTAGGCAAAGGCCGCAAACCCAACTATAACAAACAAGTTCGCCAAAGCGCCTCCCAGGAGTCCGTGATGCCTGTTGGCCTGTGGGAGCCCGGCAAGGTTTGGGCCAGCTGCAGGGGCATGCCCATTGAGGAGCTGGATCCCATTCTGGCCGCGATGTGTCTCTCCATCAGGAACCACGTCTGGCAAGGGAAGAGTCTGGGGCCTGCTACTTAGTTCATCTTGTGCTTTCTGTTTCTGTTTAATTTCCTGAGAGAAAAATACAAGAACCCTCAGTTGTCTGAACAGATTTGTCCCTTTGGGAGCAGCACCTGAGTTCTTATAAGCCCAGAGCCACCACCCAGAACATAGTTCTCCATTCCCTGCACTAGAACCTGACCTGACACTGGATAGCTCTTCATCTCACCTCACAGGTGAAGAAATCGAGACAGATGTCAAAATTACTATTCTGTACCTGAGCCAGATGGTAGCAATGCTGAGTAACAATGAGCCACCAAGGCTCCCACCATCATCTAGTCTGCTGCTTCTGCTCACTGTCATGTTCTCAACTCCAGCCTAGACCAGGGAACACTTAGCTCCACACGACATAGTGCCTGCCCAACCCCCACTACAGGAGGCAGCTGATGTACCTCCCAGACACTGCTGGTCTATAGATAGTCAGCAGCTCATTTAGAGGATGGCCACTCTAATTGACAAGTTACATGCCTCTGTGGGGACAGGTTCAGCTGTCCTCAGGGCCTCCTCCATCCCTGGGCTCTGTCTTTCCTATACCTGGAGGAGGGCCCAGCTGTCACCCTACATACAGTGTGTATACCTGGAGGTCTGGCCAGCACAGACACCCCCTATGCCCCACAGCAACCAGGAAGGCCTGTAATCTCTCTACATCTATAAGAATACAGTGGTGGGCACACAAACAGGTTTTCTCTTTGAAAAGAATCAAATATGAAAGTGTTTTTAACATTAGGGAAGGCAAAACTCAGTTCCAACTTTCGCTTTCTTACCTCCACAACTTCAGGAAATAATTCACAAAAGACTTTATCTTTTAAATTAAACACTAAACTCTGTGCTGCCAGCTGTCTTTTCTAGGAAGAAAGAGAAGGGAAATATCAGCCAGAAAGCTAATTTTAATTCTTTTAAAATTCTAAAAAAAAAAAGCTGGGTATGGTGGCGCACACCTGTAATCTCAGCATTCAGGAGGTTGAGGTAGGAGGATCATGACAAACTCAAGGCCAGCCTGCCCTACACAGTTGTGTTCTACATCACCCTATACTAATAGCGACACCCTAATATTGAAACAAAACAAAATCCAAAAATAATCTCCTGTAGAGTCAAGGGCTATAGAAAGCAGCTAATATACTTTCTTCTCATAAAAATCAGTCTTGTGAAGGCTTATTTATCTTTGTTATCAATTAACAACATTAAACTTGATTCCTATCTAAATATTAAAGAAATAAAACAAACCAACAAGGGAACAGATGTGCTTCCCATTCCCAAGCCTTACAAGGTCCCCTGAGGAGTACAGGAGTGTCAGTTACATTTAGCAAGGACAAAAGCAGGGTTGGAGGCAAAGATGGGCAGTGAGGCTTCCACAGCGTAGCCTGGAACAGGGACTTTTTGGGAGCCCCACACAGCCTCCGCCTACTCAACAGAAAAGCTGTCTCATCTCAGGACAGAATCTGCCCAAGGTTGGAAGGTGGAGACCACCTTGCCTGCCACAAGGCCTCCAGGCCCAGGGCAAGGTGCCGCCACACCTCACCGTAAAGTCCGATGTCTCTATGCTGCCGAGAGTGGGGCCCTTCTCTACCATGAAGCTCAGGAGCCCAGTTAAGATGGTGGAGACAGACCAGGCTGGATTCCATGTGTCTGGGTGGAAGTCTGTGATGGAGAGACACAGCCTGCAAGAAAGTGGTTCTGTGAGCAAGAGTACACACTGCCCATAACCACAGAAGCTCCATAACATTTCAACACTCAGAAGCTTACCTCGTGTTGCATTTAAACCTTCCATTGGGGGTTATCATGTAAATACTAGGAGGCTTAAATGGAAATTCCCTGGGAAAAATTAGCTTTCCGTGATAATAGCCACCTATATCAAAAGAGAAAAAGTCTTGTTAGCTTTGTCATCACTCAATGTGACTGCTTTTCAACTCACCCCCAACTTTAGTCTCCAGCTGACTTCCCCACCTCTGTCCCAACTCCTCCCCTCCCTGGCTCACAGGTTCAGTCTACTACTGACATTATTCTCTAGGGCTATCATGCTACCCCAACACCTCAGCCTGCCCCCTAGCTACTGACTCTCCATCTGTTACGTCTGTGCTTACCACCTGGAATGTCCTTAAGAAACTATAACTAGCACTTGTTCCACTACAGCTACAGAACACCCCTCTTCTATTTCTAGACTCTTCATGTTCCTCCTTCTCTGAGAACAGTGGTCAGAAGAGAACTTGCATGGGCCCGCCCCCTGCCTCCCTCAGCACTTCAGGAACTGCATACATCTAGTCACCCCTCTCCTTGCTCTAGTCCTGATCTAGGGACTCCAGAGGCCAGCCAGGCACACTTGAAACAAACAATGCTAGATCCCAATTTCTTCATTTCTGTAAGCTGTCCCCACACTCTACATGAATCCCTGGAGTGAAGCATATCCACGGTAATCTTTCCCAAGGCCCCTGCCTCCATCCTCCCAAATCTACCTTGTTCAGGCTTCTAATCTCAACATGGTTCCACAAGCATGACTTTGAGGCCACCCAGACATCCCCATTGGTATCTGACCACTCAAGCAGTCTTGTCCACTCCTGGGAACCTCCTCAAAGCCATACCTGGCCTGACACTCCTCTTAACACACCCCTTTCCCATCTGTGGCTGCCCTTCCGAATTCCCATGCTAGATGCCCACAAATAACTCAACCCTAGGCCTAGGGACCTTTCCTAAACTCCAAATGGGTATAATGATCATCCATCCAGACACACAAATCCAAGATGGACTTCCTACTATTTCCCCTAAACAGCCAATCTATCCACTTTGTCATTTAGACTAAATCCTGGAAGGTTCACATACTCCTCATAACAAACCCATTCTATGAGTAATCCTGTGGGCCTCAGTTTCAAATCAAGCCAGAGTGCAACACAGCAGAGGTCAGTGCTGCTGTCTGTGACTTTCAGCAGCGCTACTCCAGGTGGTGAGCACAGACGTTAACAGCAGCACTCCTAGGCCTCACACAGCTAGGTGCTCAATTATTACCTATGAGGCCAGCTAAATGGACATGAGGCATCACACTCAGAGCACACACACTCAAGATCTCCAAGAGACACCAAATGGAAAATATGCAAAAGCTGTAAACAAGTACTCTTCTTAAGAGGCAGGAAAACCAAGCATGCACTTTTAAAACTGTGCTGGGCTCTAAACTTGGTATGACCTAAACAGCAAGAAAGCAGCACCTTAGCAGAGGGTAGAGGACAGGCAGGCCCCGCCAACCTTGCTGTATACATAAATCAGTCAGGAAAGCCCTCATGGGTCACTGATCCTACTTCCTATGTAACCAAAGCACCAAAAGCCACAAAACCAAAGACAATCCCAGTACCAGCATTTGTCTGCAGGGTTGAAAAATGGGAATCATCCACTTGCATTTTAAGGAGAAGGGTCACAAGACAGATGTCAAGCAAGAACTGGGTGAAAGGGAAAACTATATGGTGTAGTACAAATTAAATGAGAAAACAGCAAGCTATAGAATGAGTTAGTTACTTGCACTAAAGAACACATAAATGAGGGCTGGAGAGATGGCCAATGGTTAAGAGAGCTTGCTGTACAACCATGAGGACCAGAGTTTGGATCCCAGTACCCACATAACAAATTGCATACGATCCTGTGAACACCTGTAACCCCCAAACTGAGGAGTCAGAGACAGGAGGATTGCTGGGGTCTGTTGGCTTCAATCTAGCCAGAAAACAAGAGCTTCTGGTTCAGGGGGGCTCTGCCTCAAATGAACAAAGCAGAGAGTGACAGAGAACACCCAACACCCTCCTCTGGCCTCTGCACACACCAGCAGACACGAGTGTACACCACACACATATCATATTCACATACACAAAAAAGAATACAAAAATGTGATTCATTATGTATAAATACACATTATTGACTGATTGACTGATTGATTGTGATGGGGATTTGACTTAGGGTCATATATATGCTAAGCAAGCATTCTACCACTGAGCTATATATCCCCAGCTCCAAGACAACTGTTTTAAATAGAACAGGTCAAATTATAATACAATACATTTAGCATTTGAGGGCAGTCCCAGGTCTCACCCTCGAAGGGTAAGGATGTGCCAGAGAGACACTTCCACCAAATGGTCATAGCAAGACAGACTCTCCTTCCCAAGTCAAAGTACAGCTCCTGTCAGGGGACACAGTCTGTAAAAGCCCCTCCCCAACAAGCCTATTCCAGAAGAACACAGAAGAGTTCATGAGGAACGGGCCATAAGCACAGTCTTGGCCAAAGCCCAAGAACAGAATCCCTGAGAGCACAGCGGAGTCATAGGTACCCAGCTGCTCTAGATCACTTGAATAGCTATGATTCCCCACTGATGGCTTGAGCTTTGTAAGCATCAGCTGGCCTGATGATAAGATACTGTTTTCTGGGTTCTACATTCTACTCCATAATCTATTTCCCTGCATCACTGTGTGAGCCTCACTACTGGAGCCACACACTCAAAATAATTTTTAATTTATTATTTTTTCCACCGGGCGTGGTGGCGCACGCCTTTAATCCCAGCACTTGGGAGGCAGAAGCAGGCGGATCTCTGTGAGTTTGAGGCCAGCCTGGTCTACATAGTGAGTTCCAGGTCAGCTGGGGCTACAGAGAGACCCTGTCTCAAAAAGACCAAAAAAA